TTGTGCGGTAACCGACGGGATCCTACACCAGCTCAAACAAAAACCGGGACGACCCCAAGCCCTTTAGTAAAATTTTCAAGTGAAAATGAATGGAAGGTTTCGTGTTTCTCAAGTTAAGGAAATCCTTTAGAGTACCGTAGCTTACAAGAGGGAGAGAGCGAGAAGATACTGGCGTTTCTGGAGGAATTTGACAATTAACGGGACGAAATGTGTCACAGGTAGGTTCGATGGGCAATAAGGTAATTGGATGTTGGGTAAATAGTGGTAAATCTTTTATTACAGACGGTAAAGCTTTTCACAACTACCTTGAGCTTAGCCAATACGTGAAGATCAGCGATGAAATCGAGAATCTCGAACAGGAAAGGTCGCACTGCCTCAGACGCTGCCGTGTTGAATTGGTCGTCTTGTATGTTCATTTCGATGTCTGGAAAAGTAGCCATGAGTTTGGGTCGACATTGGGAACAGGGTACAGCACCGCTATGTGAAATGGCGGTATAGGTATGCCCCCTTCCCTCCGGGAGTATAGGTATGCCCCCTACCTCCGGGAACACATGAAACAGGAAGAAATCACGTGAAAAGTCAACAACCAGGAAAAAATTTTCCCAACGCAGCAAATTTCTCTTGAAGCACATACGACCCCCCCTCTCCCAACAACGACCAAATACGACCCCCCCAGCGGAAAAGTACGACCCCCCTATGTGTTTCACACTAACGATGCTGTAGCGTGATTAGGAACGAGTACCGACCTTCGCCAGCATCCTGAAGGATCAAATTCGCAATAGTGATGAAATTCGCTTCGTGCATTGAACATTTGAATTTGATCGCCTGAATCATTTCTGCCACAACAGCGCGAGAAACGCTTTGTTTGTCTCGTTCCTAAAGATATAATTTTTTCGCAAAAAATGTCAAAGAATATCTCAGTAATCGGTGACAGTACCCGTATAAGAGCTCTATTGCAGGCTGTACATATTGTCAATAGGCTTTCCAGTTTCACAGGGCACTCATGCAGGGCTTCGGCGAGCCATTTGCAGAATGAGTCCACTAACGAGACAGCCGACTGTAAACGAAACGATCAGATTCTTAACGAAAAAACGGCGCCATTCGGCACAGGCGGGACAGAAAAGAGGAAGGGCCATTTTGTACTTTCACCAGTTTCTGTTGCTAGTTTCAGCTGAATTACACGTCTCACCACTGTGTGACCTGTAGAGTCTTTGCAAGTATAAATGGACCTTATGCTATTGCATAGTTTTCCGGGAGTTTCTGGGTCTCTACAGGAGCCATGGCAGCGCTCGGTGGGAACTACGCAGCAGAATGCCCCCACCAAGCCGAACTGCACCTGGAAAGAATGATGATCCCAAATCTGGAATTTAAAGTTGTGAGTAGGAACGATCTCCAGTGAAAGCCTTAGTAAAATGTCTAGTTCGAATATGCTGAGAACATTCCATGAGAGCTACACCTACGCGGAAACCAGAGACCTTGAGTCGCTGTGTATAAATACTCAACTACTAAATACAACATGAACAGCAGTGTCCGAGCGCTGTAATCGCGAACGTTCCCAAAACTATCCCTCCTGCGGAAGAATATTCCATGCTGATTGTAGGGGCAGGTCAGTTTCTCTCATCGCTGGTTCCACCGAGGTGGCTAAGAGGAGCGCACCAGTGGGGAATACACAGACCATTGCTTCCTACTACAGGGTCAAATGTGCCCTCAACAGAAAGCCTGAACATTGGCGAAGGGCACTGAGCACTGAGCCAAACAGTCGTCTCTCACAGGCAAGGATAAGACGGCGAGGGTGGAAGCCTCTAAAAGGGCCAAAAACAAATAGTACCCACCTTGAAGGCGCTGAAATTCTGCACTTTTCAGCACGTGACTCATAACGATAATCGCGCTTTCCACTTCGGATCGCGACGGTTTTGCGGCACCCTCAGATGAGATCTGAATTCGACGGAATGACTGAGTAAAGGGTTCCACTTTGAGCAAAAACCTTTTACCTGGGTATGATATCTTCTGAAGAACGACTCCATGTGAGTGATCGCCGTACTCCAGTGGTTGATGTAGGCGTCAGACGGCACTTCAACTATGTACGCAGCTAGATTGCGCATAGTTGTCGAAAGGCGCGGTAGCCAGTTCTCGGAAAGGTCCTGAGTGAAGTATTGAACTGGGCAAAGGAACTGTGGAGGCCGATTATGACAGCTGAAACTACCTCGAAAAGCAACTGTATGAAGTAGACGGGTGAGAGTTCTTGGAAATCCGCCAGCGACAGCGAAACGATTTTCCAAAATGAATCCGTGCGAGCGATCGGTGTGTCAAACAGTTGCATACAAATCCCGGACGATGACAACTAAAATTCATTTTGTTCACGAAATATCCTTTATGAAGGCTATCCTGTCCTAGTGGTGGGAGAGGGGGGGGGAGTGCAATGCTAATCATATTCTTTGAAGCACACCTTACATCGGACTTTCAGTCAAAGTCAAAGAAAATTTTGAACGCGTTCTGGGACTACACCCTAGAAACCACTGATGTTTGTGACACCGTGAGATGATCCCTCCAATCAAATTCATCGGGTAGAGAACCTTGAGGAAAGCCCTGGTTGGCCTGAGGCCCATGGAAGGAGTGATGAAGAACCTCTGACCACCGTATCCAGCAGGGTTGGGTTGCGTGGGTTGGAGCAGATTACCGGGATTCAACCCCGCCAGCAACCGGAATGCTCTCGTCGCTAGGTATTTTCTCATGGCATCTACTGGCCCAGTAGTTGAAGGGAGAAGGTAAAGGAGGAGGGAAAAGAGAAGGAAGGAAGGAAAAGAAGGAAGGAGGAAGAAATGAAAGAGAGGGGAGGCACGCGGTTAACAAGTATCCTCAGACCCCCGCCTGCGCACACGTGGTAAGCCGCTCTGCCTGCCACTACACTGCAGTCTCGTTCGCTGCGTAACCGACTATGGGGTTAAACCGATTATGGGACCTTTCAGGGAGGCTGGATTCGACGCGCTGTCAGCCCGTTCTCCACCAGTCGTTGAAGCAAGTTAGGGACGATACTTGGTGAAAAAACGCATGTTACGAACAATATGACAGTTTTGTCGCATACCTAAAGGAGAAAAACGAGCAGGTACCGTGGCAAACCCATCCCCCTTGACACGCCCATCCGCAGCGATCAAGACAATATCTTCCTCCTCCAGTGTAGGACACAATTTCTAGTACTAGTGCTCCAGTATGAATGT